GCCTCTTGGCCTACTTCGGTCTCTTTTCCATTGCTCAAATGCTGCCCCCTTGTGGGCCTAATGCCCTAATGCCCAAGGGGCAACAATACTTGAAAGAAAAAGGCCTTGTGGGCCTTTTTCTCGATTACATGCAGTCCTAATGCCCAAGGGGCAACAATACTTGAAAGAAAAAGGCCTTGTGGGCCTTTTTATCGATTTTTTTCAAGTTTCGACCTCCCTTGGGTAGGCCGGAGCATTTTTCCATGTGGCGGCACATTTTCAGCCTTGGATCTGGCTGAGATCCAAGGCCAACAATAATCTGTGCTACCCCCTAGTAGCCCTTGCTTCAATTATGAGCCCCTAAGTCCACTTTTTCAATTTTTGGTGCATTTGGCTCTCTTTTTGGGCCAAATGCACAGTTTTGTCCCTTTCCTTCTTTTGTTTGTTTCCGTTTTGGGCTGCCACCTCATTCCGGAGCTAGCCGTTTTGAGCTGGCCCACAAAAAACGGCTAGTTCCTCTCTACCATGAGATCTGATCTCAGATCCATGGTCCAAAAGAAAACCGGCCACTTCCTTTTTGCATTTTCTCTCATTTTCAGTTTTTTTAATTCAGATTTTATTGAGATATGGCCCCAAGGGCCATATCTCTACAATCCGGATTGCCCTCCCTCATTCTAGGAGGGATAAGGTCACAGTTGGGACCTGCCAGTCCCTGTGCAGGTCCCAATAGGCCGACACACTCTCCTCCACTCTTTTCTCCCTTTTTGTTTCATTCTCCCTCCTTTTTCTCTTATTTTTCTTTCTTTTTCTTTTATTTCAGTTGTGACAAGTGTCAAACTGCTGTGCACCCTCTTTGTAGGCCCTAAGGCCTCATTCAAGGCCAGGTTCATGGCTGTTACTTAGCCGTTACATCTCGGATTCCAACAATGGCACCCCCATGCTCCTAGAGGACTCCACTTTGCTCCCGTTTGCCCATTTTTTAGTCCCTTTTACTCCGATTTTCTAAGGACAACCTTTTTCTCATGTTGAGCCTCTTGAGGCTATATTTTCTCATGCCTAGCCAATCCGAGATATCCCGGACTGCTGGGCAGCCCTCCCAACACTACTATTTTGCTGGGCAACCCTCCCTTGCACTAGTGGTGCTAATATTTTTCACCGTTTAGATCCTTCATCTCGACGGTGCCTTTTGTTTGCAGAATTATTCCTCATGCTTGCTCATGGTTCCCTTGGGACATCCCAAGTCGTCGCCACTCTCCTCCATACTAGTTCCATTTTCTTGTCTCGTCGGCGGTCCCGCCGGTGCATGTCCCGTTTTTCGATTTTTATTATTTGGACCCACTTGGCCCTCAGCAACATTCCGGACGGCGTCCCATTTTTATTGTTGGGGCCCCTTGCCCTTGGTGGTCCCATCATCTACATATGTATGCTGATTTTTCTAGGCCGTGAGATCTCATCTCACGGTTGTCGTTTACCGTCTTTACTTGCCCCATGCCGGAATCGCTCCTTTCTAGCCCTCCGCGCTTGCCGTGGCTCATTTTCCCTAAGTCTGGGCATCCCCATGCAGTCCATTGCAACTCGGACTGCAATGGGGGTCAATTCCCTAGCCCCAATGTCCCACAACTAGCCCTTACTCAAAAGAAAAAGAAACGACCAACTCCCAAGTGCATCCGGACTTGATTTTGGCTCCGGATGCACCTAAAACATGTGTTTCTCCTCATGCATACAATCCGTTTTATTCCGGTTGCATGGGGCCTTGATTTTCTTTGATTTTCTCTTCAAAATCAAAGAAAATCCAAGTCCTTTGTAACCGCCATATTCCAGAATGAATCTGGTCACGGATGAATCTCCCCAAGTGGCCGTTTTTTACCGTTAAGACCTTTTTCTTTTTCTTTTCTTTTCTTTTTCTTTTCTTTTCTTTTCCTCCTTTCTTGGACAGTAGGGACCTGCCAGTCCCTACTTGTGGCAGTCCCTACTGACGGCCAACTCGCTCACTCCCTCTCACTCTTCTTGTTTTATTCTCCCTCATTTTCTTTTCTTTTCTCTCTTTTTTCTAGCATGGCAAGTGTCAAGTGGCCGTTAAGGCCCTTTTCTTGCCTCTTCCTCCTAGTTTTGGCCCTTCCTATGCCCAAAGTGCAGTCCATCATATATCGGACTGCAATAATGCCCTTCTCATGCCCATGGGAGCTTCCCTTCATTTCTATTTTTCTCCCATAGTGGGCCCTCCTACTCCGATTTTCTCCCAGAGGGCTATTTTTCACATGGAGTCTCTTTTGATTCCATTTTCTTGAGGGAGGCTGATCCGAGATTTTTTGGATTGCTCCCATGCCTCCCACTTCAAGTTTCTTTACTTTTTCTTTTATTTTCGGCCTTCCCGTTTGCTACTAGCGGTGCTAATATTCTTGGCCGTCAAGATTTCGATCTTGACGGTGCACCTTGCCTTTATTATTTTCCTTCATGTGGTGCCGCCGTTTCCTCTTGGGACTTTTACATGTCCCCGCCACTTGTCCCGTCGGTGTTCCCCGGCACTTAGTCCCGCCGGTGGTCCCCGACACTTAGTCCCATCAGTGGTCCCCGACACTTAGTCTTGTCGGCGGTCCCCGACACTTTTCGCCCCGGATGCCATTATTTTTACTTAGTCCCATGTGGCCCCGGGTGCCTTTCCCCGAGGTGTCCCACGTCCCTTAGGCGTTTTGCCGCCCCATGGTGACCCCTCGCCCTCGTCTTTTCTTGCGCCTAGCGCATGCCGGTTCCTTTGGTCGCGGGCCTCTACCTCGAGGCTCCCGTAGGTGGCCCCCATGTCGACCCCATGTTCTTTATTTACCTACGGCCTTTGGGCCGCTCATCCCTTGATTCCCTCATTCCTTTATCGCTGCCATGCTGCTTTTGCTGGCTCAAGGGCCCTTTAGCCTTAGTCTTATTGCGTTCCAACGGCCCTCCCGGCCTCATGCTGTGTTCTATGTGCCCCTGTTCTTAGGCTCGCTTGCTTGCCGTCGCTAGTTCTTTCCTCCTGTGGTTCTCACCCCAGGGCATCACTTCCTCCTGCGGCCTCATCCTTTGCCTTTTGTCTCTCCCGCCTCCTTACTCCAGATTTCTCTGTTGTGCACAGTTTACCCATATTCAGTCTCTCGAGTGATGGGAAGTTATTCGGGACTCACCAGTCTCGACAGCGGGCCCTGCAGGCCCGTGTGGCTACACAGTATGCCACCCCCCCCCCCCTCCTTGAAAGGTCGAGCTTACCTGCGAGGGCGAAGCTGTATGTCTAAGGGAGGGACCACAGTCCGGTTGGGAGGGGCAGGTCATGAAGTTCCCTGAGTTTACCTTTGCTTCTCGTAATGAGCGTAGATCACCGGTGCGGATGCTTTCAAATTTGCTCCTGAAATCCACCGAGTGTCGTCGCGATCGCATGATTTGAATGTAACCTTGTACTGTTGAGGCTTGCTGCCGTACTTGCGATCGGTGATGACGCGGTCAACTTCCTAATGACCATCCATAGAAGGAGGGTCCTGCGATCGTCGGCTCGGGAAGTCGTCGCTCTTAGCTGGTGTGTATGTCGCCAACTTCAAGGCTTGAAAGACTGGATGGACCGTCAGATGCGGGGGGATGTTGATCACAAATGAAGGGCCATCGGGCGCATCGCCCGTGGCTGATGTTACGGGCCATGGTCCAAACCACTTGGGAAGCAGTTTGCGTGAAACATCCTGTTCCAGTGCAAACTCTTCCGCGGAGACCCAAACCAGATTACCGGCGCGGATAGGACATGACACGCGGTGCCTGTTGGCTTGCTACTGCATGCAGACTTGAGCCTTTTGCATGTTTGCGCGGGCTTGAGCCGACACTTCCTTGTATTTCCGGACGGAAGCGGGAGAGCAATCAACGCCGATGTCGGCTGGTTGTGGGAGGAGAAGGTCGGCGAAGATACGGCCTTTCCGTCCACCGTGGTGCAACTCGAATGGAGTCACGCCGATCGCCGGGTGCACCGAAGTGTTGTAGGCGAACTCGATGTCGGGGAGGCGGTCAACCCAATCTTTCTAGTCCGGATGGATGAGCGTACAAAGCATTATTTGAGCGGTTTGATGTGCCCGCTCCGTTTGCCCGTCCGTCTGTGGATGCCGAGCCGAACTTGGTTTCATCTTCGTGCCGGACTCCTGCATGAGAGCAGTCCAAAATGCCGACATGAAGTGAGTGTCGCGGTCGCTGACTATGTCTTCCGGTACACCGTGGCCGCAAATCCAGCCGGTGTGCAAGAGGCGTGCCAGCTCGGGAGTCGTGGAGTAGTACTTGCAAGGGAGGAAACACGCGTACTTACTCAAACGGCCCATGACCGTGAGGATGCCGTCGTGCCCGAGGTGATCGCGGGGAAATGGTCCGATGACATCCATGGCAATGGAGAGGCCGGGTTCCCGTGGGATAGGCATCGGGCGCAACTCGCCGTAGGGGTTGCGATTGCGGGGCTTGCTCCGTCGGCAAACTTCGCAAGAGTCGCAATACCGAGTGACATTGGTAATGAGGTCGGGCTATCGGAATCGTTGTCGAAGCCGTGCGATAGTGCGGTTGACTCTGAAATGGCCGGCGAGTCGCGAGTCATGGTACTCCCCGAGAAGGCGAGTGCGAAGACGACGGTTTCGTGGGACACACAATAAGTCCTTGCCTCTCGAGTGGAGGAGCAAGTACCCGTCGACAATGCAATAGTGGCTGGCCGACGGGTGATCCGAAGATAGCTGCACATACAACGTGGAGAAGTCCGGATCAGACTCATAGCCCCGGATGAAGTGTCGATGGAGTTCCTCGTCGAGCGAAGGCATGATGTGTCATAGCGCAAAGATCGGGTCTTCGCGAGAGTGCATCTGCGGCGCGATTGGAGAGGCCAGCGAGGTGTTTCAGTGTGAAGTCAAATTGGTCGATGAAGTACATCCATCGTCCGATCGTGCTGCTCACCGTATCCTGCGTCTTGTAGTAGGTCAATGGGTTGTTGTCCGTGACCCATGTGAACCTTCGACGCCCAAGGAGGAAGTGCCGCCATCGCTTGAGAACCATCACGAACGCGAGCAGCTCCTTCTTCCTTGCATCATCAAGCCAATTGATGGGAGGCACTTTGTGGCTGAAATCAGTCGTCGCCATCGTGTTGTTCCAAGACTGCCCCAATGCCATAGCCGGAAGCGTCGGTTGTCACTCTCGTTGGCAGGGTGGGGTCGTAGATGCTAAGAACGGGTGCCATGAGCATGGCCGTTTTGAGTGTTTGGAATGACCGGCGTGCGCCGTCATCGAATATGAATGGTACCTTTGGCGATTGTAATCTCGTCATAGGTGCAGCAATCCTTGAGTACCCGGTGATGAATCGTTGATAGTAGCCCGCCAACCCCACGAATGAACTGACGTCTGTGGTGTTGGTGGGCTCGGGCCATACGCGGATGGCCTCGATCTTGTCCGCAAGCGCACGGATGCCTTGCGGCGTCACATAATGTCCCAAATACTCCAGCTTCTCCCGCGCAAATTCGCATTTGTCGCGGTTGGCTTTGTACTTGGCTTGTCGTAGCCGCTCCAAAACGGTGCGCAGGTGCTCGACATGCTCGTCCAAACTCCGACTGTACACCAAAATGTCGTCGAGGTAGATAAGTACGAATCGATCCAGCATGTGTCAGAACTTCGTTGTCATAGTCGCTTGGAAAGTGCCTGGGGCATTCGTAAGGCCAAACGACATAACCAGCCATTCGAAATGCCCATATCGCGTCTTAAACGTGGTCTTGTAGTGGTCCTCCTGCCGGATCTCGAGTTGGTGATATCCCGATTTGAGGTCTAGCTTGGAGAAGAACTTGGCGCCGCCCAGCCGTTCGAGGAGGTTGTCGATGCGTGGAAGAGGGTCAGCGTTCTTGACCATTTGCTCGTTGAGCTTGCGATAATCGATGCACAACCGCAGATCCGTGTTCTTCTTCCGGACGAAGAGAACGGGAGCACCGTATGGCGAGGAGCTAGGCCGAATCCAGCCTTTCTCAAGAAGGTCGTCGAGTTTTGCCCGTAGCACACTTACCTCTTCCTCGCTCATTCGGTAGATGCAACCACGCGGAGGTACAGCCCCGTCCTCGAGGATGATCTCGTGGCGGATGGGCCGATCCGGTACTACTCCGTGCGGGCCTTCGAACACGTCGCCGTAGGCGTCGAGAAGCTCGGTGATGCGTGGGTCCGAAGATGACTCCGTCGATTAAGCGTCATGGGGCGGGAGGGCGTGGAGAAAACACACCCCCATCTCCTCGATGTTGTCTCTGATGATGGAAGCTCGCATGCTTGCGGCGGACACCACGTGGCAGCTGATCGAAGGGTGAGGAGGAGGCACCGTGCATGGGACTAGTACTCCGTTCTGATCACGAACGTAAATGGTGTGGCGGTAGAAGTTCACCGGGTGATCCTTGCTTCGCAGCCATGACATGCCCAAGATCATGTCGAATTTGGTGTCCAAAATATCGAAGGACACCGCCTCGCTTGCATGCGGGGCAAAGTACACGGGGACGTCATCAATGCACCGGTCGATTGACTTGTGCGTGTGACCGTCTGCCAACGTGACTTGCGTAGGCTGGGACTTCCTCCGGACGTGTGGGCCAAGGCCGGCGCGTACCATAAGGTCGTGGCTCATGTAGTTGCGAGATGCTCCGCAATCAATCAAAGTGCTGCAGGTCGCCTCTTCGATCTGAATGCGTACATATAACAATGCTGCGTCGATGTCGTCGTACCGTTGTGTGTTGAACTCACGGTCGATCTTCGCAATGTAATTGTGAAGGTCGAGAACCTCTACTCCGGCGTCCATCAACGAAGTTGGTACTGCAGTGTGCACGTAATCCCGCAGTTGTGCCATGAGCACGTTGCAATGCGGTTTCGGCAATCGACCGGTCGGGGGAACGGGCATCCACTGGAAGTCCGCGAACGTCAACGGGTCGAGCTCTTCAAGTCTTGACCATGACGTCGAATCCCCGGCGATGGGTGGTGGCGAAGCTGCCGAATCGGTTGTCGATGGTGGTGAAACCGTGAATGCGGTAGAATGTTGCACGTGGAGCGGTTGGTCCAACGGTGGGACCAAGTGGACAGCATAGTCCTCGTAAGTGTACCGAGAACTTGCGAAATTCGCATCCTCCCCAGATGTGTAGGAGGTCGCTAGCAAGGCGACCGAATCTGGCGGAGTGAGAGGTGGAGTCGCCTCACCTCCCGCGCAACTCAGTTTCCCGAGTTGATGCGAGGCCGAACATCCTCTTTGCCTTGATCCGGGCGTTGGGAGGTCTTGTGCTTGGTGCTGTTGCACCAATAGCAGCAGCCATAGCGGCCGCGCCACTTGTATTCCACCTCGGTCAAGTGAAACTTGACCCATGGGGCTGGCTGTCCGTTTTCGGTCGGCGATGCGGTTTTCGCCTTCCTGTTTCCTCGGGACTTGTTGTTGCTTCGCAGCTGCACAGCAACCACCTGATCTCCCTCACGTGACGCTTGGGTGGCTGCCGGGTCTTCCACAATGTTGTCCGATTGGACTGCAGCGACATGCTGCGGTCGCGGACCAGTTTTCACCTTCTCCACATAGGTTGGCTGCCACGTTGACTTCTCGTGTGAAGCCGCCCTGTTTGTCTTGATGATCTCCCTCGCCTTGTTGATGATTTCGGCGGAACGTCGGCATTTTGTAATGCTTCACCGTGCTGGTGCTGCGATCGGGGTCAGACGGCTGTTGCCGCTGCCTGATCTCGGTCTTCAAGGTGCCCAGCTGTTGGCTAATGGCGGCTGGCGCCGCGAAGGCGTTGATATCACCTAGCATTGCCACTACGTGATCTACGCGTTCCTCCAGTTGGTGGGCAGAGGGTGCACTGCTGGACTCGCCAGCCTCCGGTCTTGGTGCAGTTTGCTCCAAGTCCTGTACACGGGAATCAAGTGCCCGTGCTGCATCCTTGTGCTGAGCCTTGTGGTTCCGCACGGCCCGCTGGAGGTTCGCCAACTCGGACTGCAGGTGGTTACAAGTGTAAACCAACCTGGTCATGAGCTTGGCCATGAATTCCTTATGCTGCTCCTCCGGTGTCGCGTCGTCGTGCTGCTCAGATGGTTCAAAATGCCAAAACGTGAGCTTTTCAATGTTGGTCGCTTCATGCCGCTGTAACAGATCTTGGGCCTCCTTGCGGCGTGCCTGGGTATCTGCTTCAGCTTTGGCTTGAAGTCACTGCTTTTCAACTGTTGCCGCCGCTTCAGCCTGTAGGCGGACAACCTCGGCTGCCGGCTGGCGTTGTTCCTCAGCCTCGATTAGTGCGAGCTGAGCTTCGAAACGCTGTCGGTACTCGACAATGGACTCATTGGCCAGTTGGCCTGGCATGCCCAGAGTTGAGCCTGTCATGGTGGCGGGGCACTGCTAACGTGGCACTGTTGCTGACGTGGTATTGCTAACGTGGCACTGTTGCTGACGTGGCACTGCTGACGTAGCACTGAACCAACCTGGGAATGCATGCAAAGGGGTGGGTGGGAGGGAAAACGCAGGTAGGTAACCAACCCAGCTATACTTTCCTCCCTTTTTTTTTCTTTTTTTTTTTGTATGTTTGTCCATTTGCTATGAGTGAGGCATGTCAGAAGAGTACTATGAGCGAGATCTAAGCCAGGTTCCGCAAAGTTTCGGCTTTCACAAAAATTCGATCTTGAAAAAAAAAAATTGCGAAATAGAGTAGAGATGTGATTTTCAGAAACGAACTAAATCTAGTTTCTGAGAATATGGCAACCTCCTAATATGCCTAACGAAATGCTAGTAGGCTTTGCAAGATTTCGGTTTTCAAAAAAATTTGCGAGATAGAATGGAGATTTCGATTTTCATAAAAGAATAAATCTGGTTTCCGAGAATATGACCACTTCTATCGTTATCCTAATATGCCTAGAAAACGAAATGTTGACATCAGAAATTTTCGGCTATGTATGCGAATATCAGAGAAACGAAATGCTACTATCAGGAATTTTCAAATAAAACGAAATGCGATTATCAGAAATTTTCAGATATTTGTTGCGCGAAAACGAAATACTAATATCAGAAATTTTCAGGTAAAACAAAATGCGATAATCAGAAATTTTCAGATATTTGTTTCAGAGATTTGACGAAGTCCTACTTGATTTACTAATGAGTAATCAATAGATTCAGCCATCTCTCCCCAACACTACTACTACCACCTACTAGCGCCCAGCGCTGAAGACTACTGCTAGCGCGTAGCTACTCCTGCAACGCTCCGAAGTGCTGCTGCTGAATCCTGAAGACTGCCTCCTGCCTTCTGTCCAACTACCTACCCGTGAAGTGCATGGGAACTCCCTATGTACTACTCGGCCTGCCTCCTGACTGCCTGCAGCTGCAGGGCGAGGCAGTCCAGGAGGCTGCTCTTGCCAATGCCAAGGCAAGCCAGGGGCTGGCGATGCAGCTCCTGCTGAGGCTGGTGTGGGGAACAGGCCAAAAATAGCATGTTCCCAAAACCTTGGTTTGTTGCCCGAGTTCTAGGGCAGGACGATCTTATGAGGGCCCGAAAGTGGCCCTCCGTTTCAGGCTGAAAAGACTCAGGGCCTGAACGACCCTGCTATAGGCTGAAAACGAAATAGGGCCTGCAGGCCCTCGTTTTCAGTTTTCAGGCTGAAACGACATGGGGCCTGTAAGCCCTTATTTCTAGGCTTTTAGGCCGAGAACGCGGAACGGGCCCTGCAGGCCTGTGTCGCTACACAGTATGCCACAGTGTGTGTGACCCGCAAGGGTACTTGCTTGTTTGGAGGCTCGTAGGGCTGGTTCTTACCTGTGGCCGTGACGATGAGGGTTGCAGTGGGGGAAAAACACTCAAGTGGCGGGGCACGAGGCCCGCGACACTTAGGGCAGCGAGAAAACACTCGAGTAGCAAGTAGGCCGGTACCACACCAAGTAGAAGTAGATGTGCTGGGTACTCGAGGCCGAGCAGAAGAAGGCAAAAGTTGGTATTTTTAGAGGCCTAGTAGTTGTAGGGTAGGTCTAGGCGGCTATCAGCCCAACGAGTCTGAGTCTAGGGCCTCTATGGGCAATATCAGAGTCTGCAATGATGTTTCCCTCCGAAAGGGAGGAGGTATGTTATGAACATGATTGTCTGTTAAAATTTGATCAACACTCACTCACAAGAATTCCCGTACACGCCCATACATGCATAGAAGGAAGGGGAGAGGTAGTGGAGTATCACACCGCCCAACAGAAAGAAACACAACGGAAGACTCAGAGGAGCGAAGTGACAGAACACACAAACTGTGAATTCTCTCCACACAGATCCCAACAATCATTCATAGAAGACAATCGAGTGATCACAGCCAGAAATCAATGAAGAGATGACAACTCAAACACAATATTGCAACTGTTTATTAAACTCAGAGCATCGTTTCCACTGAGTAACCCCAGAACACTGTTGCGCTACCCTCAGAGGGGTAGCGCCTCAACCCCACCACTCGGAACAACTAAAATTAGCACCGAAATCCCAGGTAACACCCAGCGCCACCCTGACATCCAGCTCAGTGGCCTGCGCCGAAGTGAAACAGGCTCCCAGAGCCAATCGCCATCCAGAAGATGAAGAAGAAGCTCAAAGCCAACAGTCCCTGATGAAGATGAAGTCCAGACGATGATAATCTTCGAGAAGATGCAGCTATGGCTGCATCGCCACTGGGACCTTACTCCTAAGGAGGGTCAGCAGTGCACCACGTGCCCCAACGCATCAAACCTCTGATAGCCCAGACCGCTTTAACTCCCAGAGAGTCAGAGCGGACAGCGTTGGCCCCAGTCTGGTCAGCGCTCCGAAGGTCTGGCTATGTCCGCTGTCTCCACCACCGGAATCAGCAACCACGACCTGATACGGTGTGTGCAGCAACTTCCACCACGAAGTGTCAACTGCCAAAAAGCCCAGGACCGATGTCCCCATCCTATCTATACTCTACTCTAGCCTAGACCGACCTAGACGGGACTGACTAACCGACCGGTACCGTTTCAGTTTCGGCCTGTAGGGCCTCTCCCTACCCGGCTATAGGCTATAGGACAGTCTATCAACATAGGCCCATAGGACCTGTCTGTCCTAGGGGTAGCTGTAGGAAAATCGAGTTAGTACAGGGCCCATATTTCTATATTTACAGATATGTTCCTCACGAATTTCCCATACAGGCAGGTCTCTTGGTTAGTCCTCAGCCAAACAAAATTACGAATCTGTCCCTACCTAGAGTACAACGTCGTCAGAGATAGGCCACAGGCGACCTGAACCAGCAAGTCATTGCAGACCTACCCTCCCCCAGAGCGAGGACCTCCGAGCTAGGGGCGTAGGCGTGCAGAGCGTCGAAGGGGCTCTCCCTTCTGCGCAGCATCATACTTGAGGATCACAGACGTTCCTGTTTTCAAAAGCTCCTTGCGAGTAAAACAGCGATCCTCAGTATGGGGCTGGTAAAGAAACTTCACGAGGTACTCCTTATCCGGGCTTGTACCATACTCATCCTCAACTTTTTCCACCTCATATCCCTTCCCTGGGATCGAGGGACCAAATTGAGGAGGCCTTTCTGGAAATGCATCAGCCGGTGTAAAAGGCAGCAGCTTGGATGCATGGAAGACAGGGTAGGTTTATAGATGCAGTGGGACATCTATGTGATAGGATGGCCCGAACGGGTCAGCCCCCACTGTATCTAAAACCTGCCATGGACCCATGTAACGCGGCAACAGCTTAGGTGAAATGTCCTCCTCACGCGATAACTCAGAACTGAGTACCCAGACCCAGTCACCAGCACGGATAGGGGATGGGCGACGATGCTTGTTAGCCTGCTGGATCATAGCCTTTTGGGCTTTGAGCAGGTTAACTCTGGCTCGTTCGATGTCCCTCTGGTACTGTCTGGTGAACTCTGCAGTTCTAGGAGTCAGTCTGGGAGTAGCCTTATCAATGATGTCATCGAGAGGCTGTCGTGGCTCACGTCCCCAGTGCAACCGGTAAGGGGTGAACCCTGTGGAGGAGTGTACAGAGGTGTTGTACATTAGTTGTGCCCGTTGTCGGGACTGGTGAGTCCCAAATAACTTCCCATCACTCGAGAGACTGAATATGGACGAACTGTGCACAACAGAGAAATCCTGAGTGAGACGAGATAAAGGATTAGGCCGCAGGAGGGAGTAATGCCCTGGGGCGAGAACCACAGGAGGAAAGAACTAAGCGGCAGCAAGCGAGCGAGCGAAAGAACAGGGGCATGTAAAATATAGCATGAGGCCGGGAGGGCCATCGGAATGCAATAAGACTAAGGCCAAAGGGGCCTTGGAACGAGCAATTGCAGCGCGACAGTAATAAGGGAATGAGGAAGCCAAGAGATGGGCGGCCCAGAGGCCGCGGGAAGTCAGAAAATGAGGGGCCAACATGGAGGCCACCTACGGGAGCCTCGGAGCAGAGGCCCACGACCAAAAGAGATCGGCGCGCACAAGGCGCGAGGAAAGACTAGGGAGAAGGGTCGGGGACCGTCGGCGGGACTAAGTGTCGGGGACCACCGGCGGGACTAAGTGTCGGGGACCACCGACGGGACAAGTGGCGGGGACATGTGAAAGTCCCAAGAAGAAATGGCGGCACCACATGAGGGGAAATAATAAATGTGAGGTGCACCGTTAAGATCAACATCTTGACAGCCAAGAATATTAGCACCACGAGTGCAAGCACTAGTGGTGACAAACAAGGAGGCCAACAAGAAAAGGAAAAGTAAAGAAAACTGAAGTGAGAGGCATGGGAGCAATCCGAAAAATCTCGGATCAGTCCCCCTCAAGAAAATAGAGTCAAATAAAACCCCATGTGAAAAATAGCCCTCCGGGAGAAAATCGGAGTAGGAGGGACCAAAGTGGGAGAAATATAGGAGTAAAAGGAGGCTCCCATGGGCATACGGAGGGCCAAAACTAAGAGGAAGAGGCTAGAAAAGGGCCTTAACGGCCACTTGACACTTGGCATGCTAGAAAAAAGAGAAAAAAGAAAAGAAAATGGGAGAGAATAAGACAAAAAGAGTGAGAGGGAGTGAGTGAGTTGGTTGTTAGTAGGGACTGCCA